AACAAAATTACGAAACAGAACAATTTCCTGCAACAAAAGTGTCCAGTATGGAAATGGTTTCTGAAATAAGACTCATTACTTTCTTGAAATCAATTTGGTGTTACACCAAAAGTAAAGCCAATAATAAAAAACCTACATATACCTAAACGTTAGAGGTTAAATATATAGAAAACCAGAATGTAAGGTTATCTCCTAATTTGTCACAAACTACAACCAATTTTGTGAGCAACATAAATATGCAAGTTAACAATTTGCCTTTTTAAAGTAATAATAATGCAAGAAATATACACGAAAATTATAACTGATTGGACACTCTTACTAAAAAATATTTTTTAAACTAACACCTTTTATTGTATTGCAAATACAGGAAAAATGTTCAGTGAAGCGACCTTCTTTGCAATTTTAAGCATTCTTGCCACAGTTTGTGCTTAAAAAGACAATTTGAATTACTTTCTTAAAAATAAACAGCACATTCAATCGCTATTCAATATAAAAATTAGATATACATAAGCTTATCTTGAATCGATTTATCACGCATAAATTTCTTTAAGCAGAGGCGGCAAGATGAAGCATTATGTCAATTTATCTCAAACTGCGGGTGTGATAAACTTTCGTAGATGTGCGAGAATATCGAAAATAAAAGATTTAAAGCAGTTAATTTATTAAAGGGAAGCTGAATAAATAAAATACGACAAAAAATAACATGCACGTTGCATTTTTATTGCAATCTCCATTTTGAAAATTAGAAAGGATTATTAACATTACTAGAAGTAGCTTACTATTACTGAGAAGTAACATGTAGAAAGTTTAATATTTATCTTGATAATTTGCACGGTTTATAAGTAAGGTTGCATAGTAGCTTTCAAAGCACATTATTATTGTATTCAGTACACATTGCTATTGTAAGAGGGCGAGGGCGATGAAACTTTTAATTGGGTCGCGTAAATAATGGAAATTTGAGAATCACCATGTTGAATTATTCCAATTTAATATTTTGAAACGTACTTACTGAAGGAAACAATTCAGCCCGAGCCATTTGAATTGTTGGTTTTGATTCTATCAACAACTATAAAAGTCACTTCAAGTGAACGATAAATTATACTTCCTTCACGCTAAACATTAAATATAGTTTTTACAAAACTTTCAAATCTATGCTATTAACATTCACTTACGTTGTTCTGTTGCAAGTTGGTTGATTTGAATTAACACTGTGCTGAGGATAAACACCTAACATAGAAGCCGCCCATCCTGTAAAGTGGTTAGTGACGCTGACTGCTGTGTCGTGTGACCTTAGTTAGAATCCCGGAGGAAGCATAGACGTTTGTAAATGCTAGCGCTTTTGCGGCATGGAGTACTCTAAAATAGCCCTCGATCCACAAACCCTCTCGTGTGGTTGGTGGGAGGTGGGGGCCCCTGACCACACCCAGGGTGTTTTCGATAAAAATTGGGGTGGAACCGAAACAAGTCGCACTGTCCCCCGTATGGTGCTGAATGCTACGGATAATGACAGGCATACGTTTCTAGCCATTTGTTGGAAAAAATTTTGTTGGGCCTCGATCTGACACCGTCGGATAGGTGGTATTGGAAGCAACATTAACCTAACGTAGAAAGTTCATTATTGAACTCGAGTCAAAAAAGAAAAAAAATGTTACCCAAGGAATTAACTCCTCAATAAAAAGTTGTACTAACCGCGTCTAATATTTTTCATAATATTGGGCAGTAACTTTTCTCAAGCTCATATTTCTCAAATGGCTTGATCTGCACTGGAATTGAAAGTCTCTTTTTTCATATCAACGGATACTTCATCTAGCCCTGAGACACATATTTAACATACATCAAACCTTCGACGAGTGAGTGAGTGAGTGTGTGAGTAACGAGGGGTTTAACGTGTTTTAACACGAGAGCTCTTGGCGACGGTCCACGTAATTTTAAACCATGACCAAGTGACGCGGACGACACCTGAGCTGGCACCACTCTCCTAACTACCACACCACACCACACCAACAGGAGGACGTTTAAGCTCTCGAAAGATTTAACGTGCATGGCTCCCCTACACGGTAGGTCTTCAGTGGTACTGGGATCGAACTCATGACACGATAGCCATGATCCGATGCCTAGACCACTTGACTACCACGGCAGCAAACCTTAGACTAGACTGGTGTTAAGTGTAGTCAGTGCCAAGCGCTGTTCATAAATTCCAATATGAGGAGTAACTTTCCTGCAGCTTTATAGTGCACTCGTGTCGCCCTATAAAGCTGCAGGAGGGTTGTTCATGTATTTATTTACTCGGGAGAATCAAGCCACCCAAAGTGTTTGGTGACGGACCTCGTAATTTTGAACCATGGACAAATAACAAGGATGGCATCTGAGTTGGCAATATAATCTCCTAACTTCCACGCCACACCAACTGGAGGACGTTTGAGCCACAATGATTTAACGTGCATCGCCCTATCTACACGGCTGCTCTTCATCGACACTGGGCTCGAACTCATGACACTCCAGCAAAGAGTCTGTTACATCAACCAACCAGGCTTTCGAATATATAATGCACCTATGGGCAACCAGCGTACTGTCGATAATGATCTATCTTACTGTTCACATTATAGTAAGAAATCTATAAAGACTTTTTTAAATTTTAAACCTTTCCCTTTAGGCTATTCAAAATTTTCCAGGAGTACAAATTGTTGAAAGATATTGATTTCAGTGATGTTTATTAAAAATAAAATGAATTTTATTGGCTGAAAGTCCTACGATTAAGTAAATGATTAGAAAATGGTGATTAAAACCCTGGTTAAGTGACAGTGATGATGTGTGAGCAAGTGAGTGAATAGTTACGACGCGACGTCAAGTGACTAGAACGACACAAGTAAATGATTAGAAAATGGTGATTAAAACCCTGGTAAAGTGACAGTGATGATGTGTAAGCGAGTGAGAGAATAGCAACGTCGAGATGTCAAGTGAATAGAACGACACTTGCTCTGGCAACTCCCTCTCCTAACTTCTACGCCAGGCGAACAGGTGGATATTTGAACTTCAATAGATTTAACGTACATCATCCCCCAACACGCCGGGTCTTCGGCGGTACTAGGCATGACACTGGATGACGAATCCGTTACCTTGACCACTGGGCTAACGCGGCCATGCGAAATTGATGATAATGGCCTGGAAAAATTGTCGTCTTCCAAGCTGTGGCATTTGAGAAATTTTACGTCAACCTAATAGCATTGTTTAACGATACGGTATCATTGCTTGTTTTTCATTTAATTAATTTTTTTTGCGCTTATTTCGCAAGCATAAACTTTCACAAAATGCTGGTACTCTCGATAATGATCTTGAATCACTGTAAGAGGACACCATCCACTGAAATATTAACTCATTTTTTCATATCACATTTTAAATTAATATAAGATCTGAGTTCTAGAATCTAGATATAGCCATAGTAGCCGAGTGGTTATGTTTACGAAGTCTTGACCTGGTGCTCTTGTGAAGCCGTTGTATCAAGTCTCAGTGCTACTAAAAAACACCGTGTAGAGGGGCTGATTGGCTTGAAATGGGATCGAATCGAAACTAGAGGGCGTTGCGATCATTTGACCATCAGCATGTAACGTGCGATCAAGTAACAATATTAGCTGATCGTATTACGCTTGTGGTTGGGCGTTAACTTTTGAATTTGCTTATATTCTGTAAATTTTTTTAGTACTCTAAATATTTTTAATATATTTTCTAGTCCTTTGGTTTTTGAAAAAAAATTAAATATATATACATAGATTTAGTTTACAGTGTTAGATTTAAGCTTTGCTTATACTTATGTTCTTTGACATCGTGTCTTTTGTTTTTGTATGCTTTTAGGCTTAGTAATTAGTTTATCACCCACAACGAGTTTCAAAAAATTATGCATCATTCAATTCAACAAAATCATGCGTACTTAGAAATTAAGTTTTAAAGTGTAGAAGATGGGGGCACTTGGCGATGTCAATTTTTTTTGGCGACCGGAATCAATCGCCAAGCAACTTAATTTAACGATCATTGTTCTTGGCGACCGGAATCGATAATCAAGCAACATAATTTAGCGATAGGTGTTCAGAGAATTTACGAATTGTAACTTTGCAATGGAAATAGAGATATTAATGGGAATTTGTTTTTAAAAAAGTTATAAAGTTATCAGGAATGCATATAAAAATATAAATTATTTGGTTTTTTTATGTTAAAGGAAAGAAAGGATGTCATTTGATAGTACATGGAAATCCGGAAATGCCGCCAAAATACTCAGTCGTATCAAACACGAATGAAACACGTGGCTATTTGCTCAGGCCACCATCATGTGATTATGACGTCAGATTAATCGAGTCCATTGGATTTGTCAATGCTCAACGTCCTCATGATGACATGACGTGGTATTTTGTTGAATCTGTTCTAGCTCAGAGGTCGCTGTAGTCACTTACACAAGTATCAAAAGTATGGGTTTATAAACATTCTAAGACTACACATTTTAGATGCACTCTAAGCTCTCACCCCTGCAAGAAAAAAAAATCATCTCTACAGCAGCCAGATGAAGAATCATTGCCACGCCTCCCGGATGCTATCGTCTCAGCCAATAACCTTGATTCCTGTTAAGCAGAAGGAAAAACCCCACTATCGCCATGCCCAACAACAAAGTTAACCAGGATATGGAACTGAAGACTGTTTCACAGTCCAGATGCCCACATTACAACGCTCATTCAACATTTTACATGCATCAGTCATTTAACAAAATGGCTATTTATTGGAGTTAGTGCTAGAACTCTCTACAAAATATCGAGTAAAAAGCATTGAAAGCTTCTTCCTGAGGCTAAAGCTGACTTTTCATATAAAATATAAAGCGGTATGAAGAGTATGGTTCTCTAAAGGTGACCACATTTTTTTCAATTCCTTCTATATTAGTTCACACACTCCCATTCCATTTATTTGTATTTATAAATATCTTGTTTAAATTTTCAAACGTTAATAAAATACTTTTTGTTCATCCTGTAGTGCTATGGATAGTGCATTTGATTTCTAATCAAAAGGTTGTGGGTTCGAATCCCACCTGGTATGGCCTAATTTTTGACAATGTGATTTCTTTTTACTATATTATTTTATTAGAATAACTAATTTCTTTTTCATGAATAAATATAGTTACAAACAAAAATAAGTCTATCATCATGTATAGAAAGAAAAAAAAAATTGCGAGGAGAAAATCCTGTTTTTAATTTGCCACCTGCTCCGTGATATCAAACTTGCTCCGTAAATTTTAAGTAAAATTAATAACAATAATAATTCAGTAAATAATTTCGTAACATCCAATTCTATATTTATCGTAATTAATAATAAAATTTTTTATGAAATACATTAATTCATGTAAATAAAGCAGTATATTTTTTACTGCTTTTCTTCTTAACGCTGAACTATTGGATAAAAGTTGCTTAGCATATTTAAAAGTATATATGTATAATTTATGAAATTCTTTATCTAAAAGTACCAGTGCATATATGTAATATTACCTACCTACCAATTTTACGTTAATACTTATTTCCTCTACTTTAAATTGTGTAATTTATTTTAGAATGTATAAATATAAATGAAAGTTTTAAGTTAGCAGTTGGGCATTCATATGAAAAATAACCACAATGATATTTTTTTGTTATTTCTTCCTAAGTCAGAATATATGAAATTAATGCAGTTTTTGGAAGACTTTCTTTTATACATAAGCAAAATTCTCATTTTATCTATTGATGTCAGAGCATGCTGAATTAAAATGTTTCATTATTTTTAAGAGATGGCTTACATACACACAGCTGTATAGGGTAGTTTGTTAGGCGCTGTCGTACGCCCGAAGTTGCCGATTCGAACCCGGTCGAAGATGGTGGATTTTCATGATGCAAGAAATTACCAGCTTCCATGTCGTATGATTATACGGCATATTAGAGATCCCTATGGTGCCGGTTTGGATTGGGTGTTCTCGGAAAAATTAAATTCCTAGTACAATTACTCATCGTCAGAATTCGGGTGCTACTTTGGGGAAGAAATTCGGCTATATTGTGGCGATTGCCTTTATGGTGGCAAACTAAAAAGAGGTACATTTTCTTCGTGAATGTGCTAGATAAGCAAAAGTAATTATCAATCCTCAGCCCCATTTGAACAAGACTAATTTAAGAAATTGGTGTAATAACTAACAGTTTTCTTTAAGTAGTAAAAGCTGTACTACAAGCTAAGGGGTATTTCTGGTTTATTTCGGCATATTTTAATTTTTCAAGAAAAATAAAATCTTTATATAAAAATACTACATTTTTTTTCAAAGAAAAATATTTTCAGAAATATATTGATTACTCTCTATCCTCTACAAAATTTTACATTGATGATGGGTGAGTGACTGAGTGATTTTGGGGTTTATTGGCGCAAGAGCCGATTTCGGCTATACTGCGTCAAACATTTGTTTTAATATCTGTGGTCTAGACGGGAAGAGAAAGAAAGAATGAATTGAATGACAAGAAAGAGGGTCGAAAATAGAGAAGGATCACTAGGGTACCCCAGGTTCGTGAAGCCCGTGTTTACCAAAGACAGTAAATCCCGTGGGAAAAGGAAAAGATCACTAGGGCACCTCGGGATTGTGACACCCGTACTCACCTAAAGAAGGCGAGCCCCCTGAGGGGGACATTGATGATGGGAGAGGACATAATAGAAGTGTTACTTATAATTTTCACTCACATTACGCTGTACTGAATTTTAAAAGCAGTTTTGTTTGTTGTACGAAACACATTTTTAATTTTCGTACACATTAAGTCAAAATCTTTAAGTAATCTTTTGTGTTTTAAAAATCATACTAATATTTTAAAATCATAATTATTATCATGAATTACAATATTCAAAATTGGATGGTTTCTTCTAACAAATTTAGAAATCATTTAAATCTTTTTTAAATATGCATTTTTTTATTATATTAATTATTTGTTAAATTCTAACAAACTTGATGATTTATATAAATTAATTTACGGTAAGGAGGCAGAGTTTAAAATTATATGAAGATAAATCTTTAACTTATACAATTTAGGTGTTTGATAATTATTTAAATAAAATAAAACTTCCTGTATTTGTGTGTATTTTAGGGGAAAAACAATTCACTGTATGCTTCAGATATTTTTAATGATTTATACTGATGGGGAGATTTCTGGTAGTGAGTAGACATTATTACTCATACCGGTGCCGTGGACATTAAGATAAATAAATTATAGTTTACAAAATCTAAAATACACGCTTTTATGTTTAATCGATCTAAAAAGTAAACAAATAATTCTTCATATAATAATAAAATGATTGAAGAGAAAATTGATGCCATCGGGGAAAAGTGTGTGGTGCTCTATATCAATTGTTATAATTTAAGACTAGTTCTATTCCGAAATGCTGAGTTAGTGTAAAAATGTAACACAAAGCACCCCACGGTTTTACCACAAATGACATTAATTCTCTTTAATCCTTTTATTCTTAGATTAGGAACTGTATTTTTTTTACTTTTTCGTTCGATTAAACATAAAAGCGTGTTTATCACTTTTTTCAAACTACAATTATTTTTCATTTCTAGTTCAATCTAAAAAGCAAACAAAAAAACATGCATTTTTAGTTTTAAAAACTATCATTTATTCATTGAAGAATTAATCTTAAATACGTCTTTTTTTAGAATCTGGAATACCCACATTAGCATCCTATCAGTGCTTCAATACGGCCAGTTCTGCAAAATGTAGGATGAGCCAACTGAAGGAAATAATGAAGAGCTAAGTTTGAAATATTTCTCACTAAAAAAAGCGCAATATTTTATCTGAAGTTTGCATCTGCATTAAATACAAAAGTACACTTTTTAAATCAAAGAATTTGTGAGCAATTGTTTAATCCGGTGAGAACTATGAATCAATTCTCAGCTGTTTTGGTAAGATGAAGTTTGAATGATATTTTATTCCACGATCCAACAGATAAACTAGAAAAAAGAATTTATGTCTGAGTTAAGGGGTTAGAACATTGCTTCTCAAACTTTCCATATTTGCCACCCAATTTTCAGTCATAATTTTCATCGCGCCCCCCTCATACAACAACAATGTATTAAATGCGATATTTATGTACTTCGACGCTAAAGCTACTTTATTATGAACTGTACATATTAAAATATGTATAATATTTTGTGTATATGATAAGCTCATGGAAGTCACTAGTATATACTAAATTTGGTTTTATTTTGGAATTGTAAATCAATTATTAAATATTTTTGCCGCAATGATACATTTATAAGTATCTTATACTAGTGTGGATATGTATTTTATTTTTTATCATGTCAGAAAGTATTTTGTTTTGCTTCCTTTGGTTAAATTAATAATTATTTTGAATATTATTTTTTAATTTTCGATGTGCTCGCCCGCCCCCACGTAGGTTTATCATGTCTTCCCCAAGAGGGGTGCGACCCACTGTTGGAGAAACGTTGGGTTAGGGCATAATTTTTTTCCCCATGCACGAGTCTTTTTTTTATATCCATTTTCGGAAAAACTAGACAAATATTTATCTTATGGTAAGATTTTGCTGAAGCAAACGTTTTTGCTTTTATAGGGTTGTAACACTTTTTTAGTCGTCAAATCTGGAAATATTATCTAGAATTAGTCGCCAAATCTGCAAATTGTTTACGAAATTAATTGCAAAATCTTGACATAATAAATGGAATTAGTCTCCAAATTTTATTGCTGACTGGGAACACTAAAATTTAAATATTCTAAAAATGACCGAAATTAAAAAAATTAAAAACTTATTTTATTATAATAATTGACAAAAATTCATAATAACTTAAATTCATAATACTTTTTAAAGTTGGATGTGTGTATCTGCATTTAATATATAATTCCTCGTTAAAAGAGCTCAAAACAGAATATTATTCTATAATGCTATACTGTGTTATATGTTCTTCCGTCAGTTGCATATATGTGAAGATTTCGGGCATTAGACATACACAAATAGGCTACATATAGTCATGGGAAAAGCATTGATTTTCCAATTGCTATTCTGCTTACTGCAACGCTTGCCCTTGTGCTTTGTTAACAGCAACAATAAAACAGAGTTTGATTGGATTGAATGGAAACTGTAGGTCAATGGCTATAATTGGAATTAAAGGTATGATAACACTTCCCTTTTCATGACATATTTTAAAATATTGGTACCAAGTACATTCTGCATCAATTTTGTGATCCAAAGCCTCTTTCCTTTACATATTCGAAGAGCATCGAGATTTTTGCATAATCGTAACTGATACATTTAGTTTCAATTGAAGTTTATGTGAGGGTACAAGCGAAAGCTCAAGCAAGAACTTAGTGGGAGATGAAGTACTTTGTTCTGCATCCAGGATTATATCCATTGATAAATACTCCCTCATTTTCTCCCGCACGTCTTAAAATTTCGGTGTTGATTTTATTGACTATGTCAGTGTTAAACGCCATTACTGAACTTGCGCAAAACAACTAATCATAATTTAAATTTTGTTGCAAACCTGGGTAAGGCCGTGGTAGCCAAGTGATCTAGGCATCGGATCAGGGCTTGCGTGTCATGAGTGGGATCCCAATACCACTGATGACCCGCTGTGTAGAGGCGTGATGGGCGTTAAATCTGTCGAGAGCTCAAACGTCCTCCCGTGGTGTGGTGTGGTAGTTAGGAGAGGGGGTGCTAGCTGAGGTGTCGTACGTGACACTTGACCAAGGTTCAAAATTACGCGGACCGTCCCCAAAAGCCCTCGTGTAGCTGAACAGTGGGATTTTAATATTCACTCACACACGGTTTGTCATTCATCACGCCGATGGCCATGTCATGATACGTCGTCTTCCAGGCGAACAGTTGCTCTATTAATGTACAGTAGGTCATACACAGGCCGGTGGTGGCGGTATTATGCTTTGGGGGACGTTCTCTTTGGCGTCTCTGGGATCCAAGGTTGTGGTAGAGTAGACCATGAATGCTACAGGTTGTCTGAACATCATTGCGGGCCAGTTGCTCCCTTACATGGCCTCCGTTTTTCCAGCTGGAAAGGAACTGTTCCAA